TTTTTTTTTTTTTTTTTTTTTTTTTCTTTCCCCTCCCCGGACCGCAAAGGCGAGATTAAAAGTGGCATTTTAGTGCCTTTTCCTGCAATTTTGTCTACACTTTTTTTTTTTTTTAAATCTCCAGTAGCGATCTCTGGAGCTGAGGTTTCCGCAGAAAGTTTGGGGGCTGTTACGGTGTGTATTTTTGCGGAGGGGGAGGGGAGCGGGCTCCTTCTGTGTGTGCTGCTCCTCTGGGTGCCTATTGGAGAATAATAGTGTAAGTGACAACCTAGAAGTAGACTTTCTGCTCTTCACACTGGATAGAAAAGCTGCCTTTTTTTTCTTTGCTTTTTTTTTTTTTTTTTTTCTTAATAACCCCCTTTCTCACTTGCTGCTGTACGCATTGGTTTTATTTTTGAAAGGATAGCTAGACTTAAGTCACCCTCCACCTCAATTTAAACCTGCTACTTTATTTTTTTTTATTATTATTATGATGAATTCCTCATTTTGAGCGTTACACTTGTCTGATCAATTTGATCTTCAGCTCCTTCTTCCGTTGCTAAACCTCGAAAACTGGCTCTCTCAAAAGATATTTAATCTGTATTTTTTGTCCATTGCCATTTTTGCTCATGGCTACTCTGTTTCTCACTATCTATTTTTGCCCCTCCCCGCCTAGAGGAAAATAGCAACAAGAAAAAAAGAAAAAATAAGAGAATATTAGGGGAAGTAGTCCTCAGGTCTGCTGCCCCCCCTCTCCCCCCTTCCAAAAAGGGGGGGACCTAGAAAACATCAGTCTTGAACTTCTTCCTCTTCAAGAGCTCGGGCTGCAAAGGAAACCTCCTTTGTTTTTGTTATTTATATGCTGTCAAGTTTTGAAGTGGTGAGTTTCGGGTCGGTTTTGCTAATTTCACTCAGAAAACTGCAGTGTTTCTGTTTCTAGATAAGTACTTTGCTTCTTTGTCTCTTTAAAAGGTCACAGGGAAAGCTTGGCCTGGATTGTGAGAGCCATATGGAACGGATAAGTGCGGAGCCTCTCTCAAATGTGATTATGGGTTTTTATGGGGGAGGGAGGGAAGAGGAGGGGAAAGGCATGGGGAGGGGGCTGATTCAGGAGGAGAGGAAGAAATAATATAATACCGGCGGCGTTACATCGCGACAAAAGGAGATACCGCACCGACTCTCATTCAGAAATTGCGCGGTGTGCCTGTACGTGTACGCTGTCTCTGGGAAACTGTGCCTTGAAATTGTATTCTTCTCTCAATGCCTGTGATGAAAACTTGTAGTTGTGAGAGATGCCTAAATGCGAAACCCGGGGAAACTCTTGGCCTGGAACCGATGGAGATGATAGTTCTTCCCTGCAACCCTCTCCCTGGGCAGGCCACGCTGGTTGTTGCTCATCACTATTCCAAACTGAGGTTTCAGTGAACTTTAGCCTTGGGCACGGAGTTTAAATGAGTAAATTAGGTGTTTTATGTGCATGTAATTTTGCTTTGTAACATAAGGCTTTTTACAAGATGACTAAGCGGTGAAAGGATGCCGATGGGTGGGTATTCTCAGGCCAAGCGAAAATGACCCATTTGGTGTTTTGGTTGTAGTCAGTGTATTAACTAAACTGCGATCTATCACTTTTATTCACTGTACATGATGTAGTGCGATTCTGACTCACGATGATTAGATACTTTTTGTAGCAAAGAACCTCAGTGCCTTAGAGTACTTCTGAAGTTGCCAGAAGTGACAAGGATTTTCTTGTTCAAGGCTTTTTTTTGGTTTGTTTTAACCCCCCCCCCTTCTTTTTTTTTTTTCTTCTTTTTGTTAATCCTCTTATTCTTGAGAGAGACGGTTCTCAGAGAAGCAGCCCTATAGTATGTTAGCATCGTCAGAAACATCAGAAGATGTTAACGGTTTGAGACTGTAATTCTTTGCTTAGGCTGCAGTTAACACAGTAAAAAAAAGAAAAAAATCTTTTCAAAAGTGGCTAAAATAGGCACGTTTACTGTTAGTGAGGCACACGACCTAAACCAGATGGGATCAAGATGAATGGTAAACCTTAGCCTGTCACTTTACAGCATAAGGAAAAATAATGATTTTCTGAACTTCAGCTATTCAGTGGCATTCTTGAGGTTGCTTGTAAACGTTCAGATTAATATATTACCCCTTTCTTCACCATATCAGGAAAAGCAGCATGGTGTTCAAACAACAACAACAAAAAAGTTTACAGAATTGTCATTGGCATATATACCGATGACATAGAAGTATATAAAAAAATCCCAAGATGTTCAGGCTTTAATAGCTTTGCTATGAAATGTGCAGAAAATGTATTGAATTACTAGGCAACTGAAAGAAAGTAGCAATTATCAGATTCACACCAGTCTGTCTAAATACGACTTCCCCAGTATTAGTATTTGTACTTGTACTTGCTAATGTAAATTCTAGTTCATAAATTAATGTCTAGTCACCTGTCCTTAATGATTATATTATGTATATAACATAATTGTCAGTGTATTCACACCTTTCTCAGTCAGAGAAAGGTAGGGTAAAATACCTAACCATCACGACAGTATTGATGAATGAAATCATAACCAGAAAGATGTCTCTGTTCTCAGCAACTGTTTTGTTGGGTTGCTGGTTGTTGTTGTTTGTGGGGTTTTTTTTTAATATAGTTGGCAAAATAGAATCAAATGAGTGACAAAAATCCTCTAAACTTACTCCGTCATGTTCTAGGGTTGGGAGATTTTTAGAGATTTAATTGGAATTGCTGTTCATAGATAGAGGTTTCAAAAGTTTATAAAATGGGAAATAGAAGCATGCTAACATATACCTTTTCTTAATTTGCTATTGAAATTACTTCTGCTTTTTGGTTTCAAATAGCTCTGCCAGCATGTGACTTAGCATCACCCAGGTTTTTCTTTTTTAATATATTTAAGGGCTTCAAAAGTACTGCAGAAATTGTGGATTTTTTTTCCCAGCATGTTTTGTGAGATGCTACCTTCTCAGTTATTTTTCTTAGTTCAGTAAACTACTCCATTTAATGCTTAAAGCTTAACATCTGAAAAATTTCATATGCCTATTTTGAACTTTGCAAAAGTTGAGAAACTCTTTGTATAATATTGATTAGGAAACTCAAAAGCAACCATCTCCCGCCACTGCTTTCTGAAGTTAAATATTAAATTCTCTCCTAACTTTTTTTTTTTTTTTTTGGGGGGGGGGGAAATTGTAAATGGGCAATATTCTATATATCTAATAAATCTGTTGCTCCCTCAACTGAAGTTTTAACAATCCTTCTATTGTCGTGCATCCATTTTTTTAATCAAGTAGATTGAGAAGTGTTTCACTAGACTCTTTTTTTCTTTCTCCGTCTCTCTCTCTCCTAACGCAATAAAACCACCCGGGATTAATAACAAACCTTTCTGTGAGATTTGTAACAATAGCTGTGTTGGAGCACATACCTTGACAATCACCATCATTTATATGACTCTTAGTCTCTCTCAGATTTAGTAGAATATCTCTGAAGATTTTTTATTAAAGGGGTACTCTAGTTGGTTTTTAAAAAAATAATTCCACCAGATTATGATGCTATCTCTCTGTAAACTGGGGTATGAGGTCATTTTTTGAGAATAAGTTTGTTTCTTTTTAAAAAGGCATCTTATTTCCACTTAAAATAGTTATTTATTCTCCTTTCTGAGCTTATGATACATATATATCTCTCTCTGTACATGTGCAGGCTGTGTACGTATACATATGCGCACACGTGTACAACATATATATTTTTTTTTTTTTGAATCATGGCAGGTGATCTTTAGAGGCGGGACTGAGTATGGATCATTTGAACGAGGCAACTCAGGGGAAAGAACATTCAGAAATGTCTAACAATGTAAGCGATCCGAAGGGTCCACCAGCCAAAATTGCGCGCTTGGAACAGAATGGGAGCCCATTAGGAAGAGGAAGACTTGGAAGTACAGGAACTAAAATGCAAGGAGTGCCTTTAAAACACTCTGGACACCTGATGAAAACTAATATTAGAAAAGGTAACACTTTTGATAATTCTGCATTAGAGAAATATGATTTATAATATTTTGGGGGGGAAGCATACTTTTGCAGATTCTACTTCATTTATATTTCAGGATTAATTCTCCATTCTAAAATACTATATATTCCCAACTCTGATATAAATCACATTTGGGAAATGTAAGCTTCATGCTTGGGTGGAGCATCTTGCTTTACAGGGTGGAGTCTGATTTTTGTTAAGGTAAAGGCTAGCTGCCCCGATTAAAGCAAATTCCTACATTGAATTAGAAGTAATATAATGCATTAATTCTTTGAGTAAGTGTTTGGCTAAGAAACACAAAAATATGTTAAGAGTAAATACCGAACCCCCAAAACAAATTCTCGCCTTTCCTCTTAATGATGGTCCAAGCTTGGAAGGGCAGCAGTATTTCCATAACAGTTGCAAGTTGGTTTAAAGGAGAGTGTAAATCTTTAGGTATCACATTGGAAAAGTCATTTATGATGTCAATCTTCGCAGTTTATTTTCTTAAGTACAATTCATTATTGAACAATGAACAACTTGGGTGTCATATTTTTCAGTGGCTGGTTTGCTGTAATTAGACATTTACACAAGGAAAAGGCACATTTAGAATCATTGATGTTTGTATATGGATGGCTTTTGTTTGCATTGAAAATACATTTAATGGACACTAATCTATAAATTTTGTTTATCAAAATGTGTCAGTCTTTTTGACCATATACTGCAGACTTGCTAATTTAAATCAAAATATGCTGCTTTTAGTTAGGCACTTGTTTTAAAACAGCCTCTACTTTTCTTAGTCGGTGTATGTTTATAATCCAGATTTTTCTTGCATTTGCTAAGCAAAGTGCAAAATGCAACCAAGACTATTAAATGCACAAAGTTAGAAGGCAGAGGAATTTCATTGTGTCTGATGCATAACATTTATCGTACAATCATTTATTTTTTCCTCGGTTTGGCGAAAACAAAGAATATATTGATCCTGAAATGAACAGACACAGCAGTCCGTATTGTTAGATCTTTATCTATTAAAAATGGAAAAACAGCACTTCAGCAAATTCTTTGGCCTCTGCTCATGATTACCCTATTTATTGATTGTTTGCCAAGAATGTATGCATCTTAAGAAAGCCAGGGTAAGAGCATTAAAAATATAATTTATTATGGCTTTTCAAGCAGAGTGCATTAATATTGTACAGTGAAGCAGTGGGGCTATATAAAAAGGACTTTCTGACGCCTGCAAACATATAAGTTCCATAAATTCCTAAATAGGAGATTTCAGCTGTCTCTGGTATTATGTGATATTTGCACAGCAAACTTCAATGCCAGGACAGTTTTAGACAAGGATTCTACAGACTTCACTGCTCCTTATGGCAGACGTGCTGTTTACACAGACTCGTAAACCTTCAGCAAAAGCTCTAACACTGCCTTCAGGTTTAAATCATGCTGTATTTTTAGCAGCGAGCACTGACCAGTGCTCTCCCCTTTAATACTAGAAGGTTATGAAGTTGCTGCACTTGGAGGTCTTGCCAAGTACTAGCAGGAGTGATCAGCCAGCTGAGATTGTGCTCTCCTGTATAACATTTTTCACATTAACAGAAGGACACTAGTGACAGTTTGCTAAAAGATTTAGTGGCTTGATTTGTAGTCAGATGATACCTGTGTCGCACTACCAGGATCCACCTCTGATAATCTACGTTGTACATCAGAATTTGTCTAGGAGGTTCTCCCGTGTTGTTTCAAGTACCACATTTTCCAGAATGCTGCAACTCAGGAGACCGTGTACCTGGCAAAAAGCGTGTTGATATGCAGCAAAGTACCTGAGCTTTGCTAGTTTTATGTCTGATCATAGCTTAATTTGTAGGAACTGATAAGGGGAAAAACAAATACATTTTAGCTGGTTTTGAGTGTGTCTGCACAGTTAGTTAAAGGGAAGCTTTGTTTACATTTTATCTTCAAGTATTAATGGTGAAACTACTTAAGAATTTTGAGCCCTTATTCTGAATCAGACAGTAGTAGGTCAAACATCAATTGTGAGAGCCTAGAAGGGAAAAAAAAAAACCAAACCACCACCTTTTTGCAGATGAAGCATGTGTGTGTTTTAGAAAGCTCTCCACAGCTTAATTAAAACCAATGAAGAATTTATCAGTTTGCATGTACTGCTTTTGCTTTGGTCTTCTCTCCCTTCCTGACCAGTCTCACTTAGATTTAAAAAAAAAAAAAAAAGACAAAAAAAAGCAGCTCCTTCCTACACTACATAAATATTGGCAAGCTTTTAGTCTTGTCTTTCATGCTGAGCCTATTGGGCAAACTGGAGTGAGTTTGTGAGCTTTTCCAAGCGAGCCTGAAGGGGTTTGTTTGCCAGAGATTGACTCTCTGGTGAACAGATGTAGTTTAAATATACGTGCTTAAGAGGTATCTTTTTTATCGTGATTTCTTGCTATATGTTACAGCACAAATCAACAGACGCGGTCTTAAAGCGTTTATGTATTGTCAAGAGTAAATCTTCTTTTTAGTCTACAGCATGTCTGGTGCACCTTAGCAGGTTAGGAGGTTTCCATAAGTCTAGAGGGCAGTGGTTATAGAGGCATTAACATTGTAGGACTAATTGGAGTTCCTGGGTGCCCTGTTAAAATAACCCTTGTCATCATTTATGCTAAAGATGATACCCCTCTGGCAGGCTGCCATAAGACAGTTCTGTACATCTGCTTTTAACCCTTTTGATTTCTGTCATTAAGAGATCCTAACCTGTGCTGCTGGAGGACAGCAGGATGGGACTGGGGCCTAAAACTGCAGGTCTGAGGTCATCATGTCATCCATGTCCGTCTGGGAGGCCGGGAGGGATTTTCACAAAGCCTAGGAATCTGATTGCTGGGAGAGACTTTGTCCCTAAAACAGCTTGGGTCATTTGTTACTTCTCTGTCTGCTGTCAAAAGGGAGGGGAAAAAAAAAATTAAAAGGCAAAAGGACGGGGAAAAGGTTATTTGCTTAGTATGCTGTGCAGTGTAGGGAACGGTTTGTTGTATGATGCTACAAAACTGGAAATTAGTAATTACTTTCAGGCATACCAAAATAGCAATGAATACCAGAAATGTGGAATGTAAAGTGCAGGAGGCAACAACAACAAAAAAAAAAAGCCCGAACCGCAGGTACGCTTCTTAAAACGGCATTGAAATCATGATTTGTTTCTTAAAGATGCGAGTGAAAGTAGTGCTCAAGTGCACTCAGTGAATGAAGCACGAATTAGTGTTAACTTTTGCCTTGTTTCCTTGTGTACTCTTTTTAGAGCGAATGTATAACACACAAGGTGATTTGTTGTTGATGTTGAAGGCAATTACATATTTTTGGCAGGACTAAGAAAGTTTTAACGTTAACGAACAAAATTATGTAGCTGGTACTAAAATGGCTTACAGTGAAGACATCTGCAGTATGTATTTAGGTTCTCATGCTGCCTGCTACTCACAACAAATCAGGCAGGACAGAGAGAATCAACTTCTCTTCAGTCAACCTTGTTATTTCTATAGAAGGTAATTCTTTAATCTGTATCTGATCAAGATAAATTTGCATTTCTGCTTTTCAGAGAGATGTATGTTTTGTAGAACTTTCTCTTTTTTGGGGAGGGTGAGGGGAAAGGACTCAGGAAATATGTTTATCAAATATTTGTGATGATTCTTGATGCCTCCTCTGCCTGTTCATACAGGTTTTATTTACATAACGCTGTATAGACCCACCTACTGTACTGTAACTCAAGTTTAATACATTAAATTTAATTTTTTTTTAATAGGAAGTATGCTTCCAGTTTTCTGTGTAGTGGAACATTATGAAAATGCCATTGAGTATGATTCTAAGGAGGAGCATGCAGAATTTGTGTTGGTGAGGAAGGATATGCTTTTCAACCAACTGATTGAAATGGCATTGCTATCACTTGGATATTCTCACAGCTCTGCTGCCCAGGCAAAAGGTAAATAAGATTACAAAATTGTATTATGAATTATGTTTTTGGGGTCTTGGGGGAGGGGCAGGATTTCTTTCAGGAATGTGATGCAGGTTTTACTTCTTAAACTTCTTGCAGATTCTGTCTGTATTTTTTTTTTCCCTTAACGTATTTTTGTTTAGTTAGTGCACGTTTTGTTCGTGGGGAATGTGGAGGTAGATTCTTTTTTTTTTTTCATTTTGTTTGTTTAAAGAAAAAAAAAAGACTTCAACTGAATCATTAGTATGCTTATTGACCTTAATAATCTGCTCCACTGAGGATCCACAAGGAAGTGTAAAGCATATTTGAGCAGATGGACTGTTGAGAGTCAACTTGCATTTATGACTGAATATCCAGCTCTGTTTCTTTTATTTTGTTCCTGATGGTTTTATAGACTGCAAAGTATTTTTTTTGTTTTGTTTTGTTTTTTGTACTCGGTCCTTGCATTGTGAAATCCTTTCTAATTTGTTAAGAGGAATGCTAACTATTATGTCATGTTGTATTGAATTCATGGGAACTTAGGAAAATACACTTCTATACATATAAAAAAATCTCTACTGTAATGCATTTGTATAATTTCATAATATAGATAGAGTGGCGGGTGGGTGGGTGGTTTTTTGGGTTGTTTTTTTTTGGGGGGGGGGGTTCTTTTGTTTTACCAGATTTAAGAGGCTAGAAACAAAGGTGTTAATCGTGTTAAAATCAGATATTTCTTTTGCCCCTAGGAATTAGCCAGTAAATTACTTTTTTTAAAAAAAAAAATTCCTGCCCTTCTTGCCCACTCAAAAAATAAAAATCCCACAGGTCTTATCCAGGTTGGGAAGTGGAATCCAGTTCCACTCTCCTATGTGACAGATGCCCCTGATGCTACAGTAGCAGACATGCTGCAAGATGTGTATCATGTGGTCACACTGAAAATCCAGTTACACAGGTAAGTTGCATACCAGTTCTGAGACATGAACTGTTACTTGTCTGCTCTTACTGTTAATATTGCTTGTATTTAATTCCCACTCTGCGGTGTGCTCAAAGTACAAAGGCTTATCTAAATTCCATTTTACTTTCTCTAATTCTTCTTTAACTTACAGTATACTATTGCAGAAAACTTTTATGGCTCTGATACATAGATTTTCTTTGGATATCTCATTAAAACTATATTGCATTTTAGTCAATTAAATGATGCATTACAAGAAGGCATTTTACATAAAGTTTACTTAAGAGAAAAATATTTTTGCATATCATGAACAATACCATCTGTGTGCATTTTGTAAAAGAATGACTTGCTCACACTTATTGTTGCTGTCTAGGTTCTTAAATTTCACAGTAACAAAAAAGAAAAAAACAGTTAATATATTAATGCTTTTCATGATCAGTCGTGAGAAAGCATTACACCTTAAATTGTTTTACCAAGCGCATCAGAGCAGGAAGGTAGAAGTAACATGAAAAAATAGTCGCCACATGCAGCTGATGTATAATTCATGCATCAATACAGCAGATGTGTTGTATAAAGTAATTAACTAATCGGAACAATCAGGAGACCGAGAGCAATCTCCAGATGCATCTGCTTGATGCGCGAAATGAAATCTGTCTGTCTTAAAGGAATGTTCTGCAGCAGGATGCAATCTTGTAATAATCCCTTTTCTAATCTGTGTTTCAAATAGTTGCCCTAAACTAGAAGACTTGCCTCCTGAACAATGGTCTCACACAACAGTAAGAAATGCTCTGAAGGACTTACTGAAGGATATGAACCAGAGTTCATTGGCCAAGGAATGTCCCCTTTCACAGGTACTTAGCATAACATGTAATAAATAATAAAAGCACTATAGGCAACGCTGATGTGAGATTTGAGATTTCTAGAGACTGTAGCAAGTAGTACCCATGGAGTGAATCTGCCAAAAATGCAAATTCATTTGACCACTTCATGATCTTTATAAATATGCCTGATTCATTTTGAACATAGTCTTACAACGTTTCCCATGGGGAGTCGTGAAAGGTTGTTTACACCACACTAAAATTGTCTCACAGCAAACTGGATTTTAACTGGTTTTTGTCTTCAGTCTTTGAACTGCTTTGACGCAACTACTTTTTTCAAGCACATGTGTTCAAGATGTTAAAAGGCTCTTTACTTATTGCTGTCAAAAGTACTATTGAATCTGAATGCTTGTTAGATAACCTACAGTAGTTTTAAATGCTAATGCATAAAATGAGACAGTCTTTGGCATGCTGTATGAGAAGGGAATAAAGAATAAAGCTCTTTGGATGATGTGTTGTTGTTGCAAACAACCAAAGGAAAACCAGTCATTTATTAGTTCTAATCAAAATATACCTAAACAAAAATGAAATCTCAATGTATGCATTGCTAAATGCTGAACAGTTGCTTTCCTCAAACCTTAGTTGTATTGTTCTTTTTTGCCATTCTTTCTGTCATTCTTTTGTCAAATCAGTGTGAAGGTGCAACATATTTTTCTATGCAGTACCATGTCCAATGATGATGTGGTGGGAACGTTGTTTTTATTTTTGCCTTTTAAATTTTAAAATGTATTTTGTTGCGGTGCAGTGGAGGCAAATTCGGTATACGAATAAATTATGTTAGTTGTGGTAAGGAGGGGAAAAAGGAAATTAAGGAAGTCAAGGTATTTTTATGAGGATTTCATTTGTCTTGCTCAGAATATTGGAGTCTTTGTCTCCAAAAGACTTCAATTAATCTATAGAGGATTACTCTCTTTCTCTGTCTGTTTTTCCAGTGGATGTATTAGCAGGCTGTTTTCCCATCGCTTATTTTTTTCCCCTATGGTTAGATAGTTTTCAGTGATGTGGCTCCAATACAGGAAGTTTTGAAGTGGAAATAATCAAAATTATCTTTACTGGTTGCAAACCATTCCAGTAATATGTCTGCAAAGTTATCTTGTACATACCTACTATAAAAACATGTGAGCTTTTGCACTGCTGGTTTATGGAGGCTGCAGATAATTTGAGATTTTTCTCCATTTTAATCCAACAGTGCTAGTTTTCACTTAATCCTGATGGAAAGCAAGTAAATTCTATTGAGATTGAATACTTCTTTTCTACTTGGACATCGTGTTTCACATAGCAGCTTCTGTATATATAGAGGTGATGCAATGATAAAGCAGAAAAAAAGTTTTTAAAATGAATGCTTCACTAGAGGCAGTATCATGGTACTGGAGACAATTCAATAATTAGAGTCTTTTACAAAGTTGTTTTTAAGCTATACTGAATTTTTAGATAATAATTTTAATGGACAAAAAACATCTTGCCTAATAATAGCTCTTGAAGCTAGCGCTTGAGATGACCCAAACCCCGGATTACGTAACTCTGATTGGGGTTCTTTGTTTACTGTTTTGCACTTCTTTATTTGTAGAAGAATACACTTAAAGCTTCTGTTGTTAAAAGCATGGTTATTACTTTTGTCATCTCTGTCTTCACCAGCGCTGCAGTAGTTGGGTTGCAAGAATTTAAACAGCTCTGCTTTTTGTTTTTCTGTAAACACCAAATCATGTTAAGCTTAAAATACATTTATTTATTCTTAACTTTTGAAAAAGCAAGCTGTTACAGCGGTTGGTTGAGAGCTCATCAGTCAGTCTAAATCTTCCCATTTCGCTCCGGGAGCTCGAGGGAGGACACGTTGATCTGACGAGGTTCTTTTCACATGGCTAAATTGAATGCTTCCCGTATTTGCCTAACTAATAACTCATTGTATATCAGTTCTATGGAAGGGACTCTGATTTAAGTGTGTCTGTGTTTTATTAAACGTATTGAAGTTTGTGAATTGCCCCGCAGTGGCGTGCTGCTGCAACAGAGGTAAGAAGTGGGAGCAAGGCAGAGGTCTGGAAGCAATGTTTCCTTAGAGGGTCCATCAAAATGCCAGCGTGGGAGATTATTCTGGGAGCAGAGAAGTAGTCTCTGCTGTTATGTACTTCCACGGGCAAAGGTAATGCCATATGAAGTGCTTCATCACAAATGCAAACTGATGCAGTGACACCGTACCATAACTTATTAACACTGTTATGGATATAATTTATTAACCACAGAAAAATGACTCAAAGTGGAAACGAGAGTAGTTATCGTTTTCTGTCACTGTCATTAGCAGTACTCTATTTTGTGTAGCTATGGAGGGATTTGTTGTAAAGTATTAAAGTTGCTGTGCTCAATGTGTGACATCTCCAAAGCCCCATCTAAGCATGGAAAACTAAGAATCATCATCCTCACTTAGAATTGACTATATTTTCTTAATTAATCGTGCATTTTTTGTATTAAAAAATCTCTCGTATTTATTCAGAATACTGATACTGTGTGCTGTAAAAAAACCTAAGCAAACTGTTTTTATAGTGCAGATATACTTAATAGCTTGAAAATATGTGAGAAAACAAACTTTGAGATCTAGTTTGTTTTAGTTATGGAGTCTTGAAAACTTTAACAGCATCATCTGCTTGAGTGAGTTTTCTTTTTTTTTTTTTTCTCCTGTTTGCTTTCTTGTCCAACTAAAACCTTGGGGCATACAGGTATGAACTCTTCATGCCTTCCTCGGTAAAATACCACTGTGACTCTTGTTCTCATTAGGAGAGTTGAATACATGGTCTCTTTTGAAGCTACTGTAATTGTCTCGCTCTGTGACTGCTGTGGCCACCCCTGAAGGCCAAGTTTATTACTCAATATATGAGCCTGCATCACAAGGAATCCCCGTTGACATTACTTGCAGTGCTTGGGACAGACCGGAGCAAATGCATGGCTCTGAATTGCTGTGGAATTGCAAGCATCCGTGCAGAGGTTTAGGCTCAAATTCTTGGTATGAAGCAGGCAAGGATGCTGCAAATTTCACATGGAAAAGCCAAGCCTGTTCTGAATTATGTGCTGCAGTGTGTATTTTCATGCTTTACCTCAGGTTTCCGGATTTTATTGCTAGAGACTAGCAGCATATGCAAATGCCGGGTGAAAGACTCCGCGCGTTTGATAAGCACAGCTCGCTTAATTTCTGCTTCCTCTCCAGACCTCTTTTGATGGAGATAGCAACTTGGAATTTAATCTAGGGCTCAATTTTGGGCCATCTTTTGCATTCCATTAAATTCGGGTATCTCGCGAGTGGCCTGGATCTCATTTCCCTCCTGTTTTGGCTCTTTGGTCTCCAAAGGGTTGTAAAGAAATTGTTCTACCATCAATTCTTATTTCCAACCCTTTGCACAGAAGCTCTACTCCACCTCAATCTGCTGGGAGCTGAGCTAAAGTGATCAGGCAGGCAGGCCTGTTGCATTTGTTTATTTAATGTTGGTCCTTCCCTCTCTCTACTTACCCTTAGTCCTAGCATCTTCATGCTTCACTTTCACAGTTTTCTCTGCTTTGGTTTTTACTGCAGAAGTCTCTTATTACTTCCACAGTTTAAATAACTGAAATACTACAGACTGTATTTATACTGATACTAATAAGTTGGCTTTTTTTGTTTTGTCCCTATTAAATTATTGTTTCTCCGTCTCTGTGTATATATATAGTTAGATAAGCTTTTATGAGGGAGCAACATGGGCTATTGGCCCGAGAAAAGGCTGAAAATTCTTTTAATAATTCTGGAACAAATTCAGTGTGTGCTTTTGAACATTTAGATGTACCCTTTATCTTGAGTTCCTGTAACCTTTTCCATGAAAGGAAGATAAGAAGTCACCTACCAAATGCAGAGATTGTAGAGATTAATTAGTATCTGGGCACTTCTTTGAAAATATGGCAGTGATCAAATGACATTGACTTTTCTACTGGTATTATCTCAACCGATGTTTTTTCTACAGAAAGATTTTTCTAAATGATTGTTGTTAGTATTCACAAACAAGCATTTTATCAAACCACTGTGAAAGCATGTCTGAAGCAAGGTATTCTTTCTCTTCCCTTATAGTATCCTGAAATTTGAAGGTCTCTTTTTTTTTTTTTTTTTTTAATATTTTGTAGGGGACATGCGATATTGGAATATATCCAGAGGCTGTGATATTATGGACATAGTCATTTACAGAGATTGCATTACTATTTTAAAATTTTTTTGAAGATATTTGTGTGTGCCCCCCCCCCATGCCAGTAATGTCTTTTACATAATTTTGCTCTCGATGATGAGGGAATGGCATTTTTTTCAGTTTGAGGGATATACACTTGCATTTTGTGAAACGTGTGCGCACACAGAAGAAGTGCTGATATGATACCAAAGTCTGAATAGTTTTGCACTTGTGATAAATATAGCTATCCTGACTGCATTTTGATCAAACGTCCGTACTGTAGTGAGTGATTGTCTGCATCCAACATGGGCACAATATAGATCATATACTTTCCTTTTTGTTCAGATATCCTACCGTGAATTTGCATGCTGTTTTATGCAGACAACGTGCAGACTTTATATGATCTGGCAGAAACGCTAGACAGAAAGCTTGCTTGGAACATCAGTGTTTCTCAGTTCACCTGATCTGAAGGCACCTGGCGGTCATAGCAAATAAGCAGCACAACAGAAATCCTCTCACATTTCCTTGCTGCTGTTCTGACCCCCCCACCTCTCCAAAATCCCAACCAAAAAAAAGTTGCATTTGATAAAATTAAAATTTCCAGACCAGTAAATAAGGAAGGAATGAGCTATTAAGAGTTGCCAAAATACATACTTTTTATGAGCAATATCTAATTCATGCTCTACAAAACTGGAAAGTGTTTTTTGTCCTCCCCTTTCAATTTTACCTGCCTAGACCTGAGATCAGGTCCTTGGATTTCTTTGTTGCTTGTGATTCTTTTCTCTCCTTCTTTCTCACTCT